TCAAACAACCCTTAATCGCATACCGGGTAGTGTACATTTGCATTATAGCAAGGGTTTGAATCCCACCAACAAAGGTTTTCAAACCCAGGAGAGGTTCTGTCTTTTTTTTATTATTATTATTCTAGAAGTACCACCTGAGGGATTGAACCCTAGACTTATCACAAAGAAACATTCCAATGGCGGACAAGTAAACCAGACAGTTGCAATCAAAGTAAAAGGTATATTATATATACTGATTTTTTTGGCTTTATTTTTGTTTGCAAAATAGGGGGGGCAAGTTATTCAGACTCATCTAAGTAAGTCGGCTCGTCCAAGGGTCGTGTACCTGGGACGAATCGATTTCTATACACTAGCTTTAACCACTATTCAATCTTACATGAAAACGGCACGCTTGCCCCATTTTCCAATCAGGATAATGCCAGATAATAACATTAGAAAACTAACAAACTATTCATGAAAAATGAACAACAATGATGATCTTCATGAGAGAAAGTAGTGCAAAGTGAGAGAGACAGTAGTGCAAAGTGATCTGTTGCACATTGCAACAAAATGAGATCAAAACTAATAACCAACATAGACTGCAGCATTTACAATGTAGCAGTCATCATTTTTGTCACCAATTGCCTCCAAACAGACACCACTCGAACAAATCAATCCACCATCCACAACCTCACAGCTAACAATATTACCACTGCAAAAAAACAGAAAGACTAGGAATCAGGTCAAACTCCACAGTAAGAACTTAAAAGGCGGACACTAAATTCAGCAGTGACAAGTGAAAAAAAAAACACACATAATAGGTTAGTACCATTAAGTGCGAAACTGCAAAAGTATCAATTCATACGGTCCAAGTCTTAAAGCAATAATTAAGTGTTTTGCACATGGGTATGTCCAGGGGAATCCCTAGGCTTCAAATAAGTTTAATTGCTGTTTATGACAGACAACCTGAGAGGAAGACTAAATTAGAAACAAATGTGCTTTTTAACACAAAATAAACAATAGTTCATAGACTAAATTAGAAGATGTCACTTTATCAAATGTCATTCCGAAAAAAAATTCTCTCAATTCATCAAAATGTACTATTTACCCTTCTAAAACAACTATTATTCACTAAGTTTCATTCAACCATCATATTTACAGCTCAACGATTCACAGAAACAGCCATGTTTTATCCCCTATTTATCAGACTATGCACTGCCTTATCTGTTGCTTAAAACACTGCACCATCTGTAGCTTAAAACACATTACTCGAGTGCATGATATTGAAAAGCATGAAACCAAACCCCAGTGAGCACAATATAGCGAGTCATTGTTGCAAGCAATAAGCACTAAAAATGCAATATCTCAATCAAGATGCTGGCAACTTCCAGTGCTGCACACATACTCCAATAAAAGTATAAAAGGAAGCACATTATTCTTTATTAAAAGAATTACAGAAGTCCCAAAATTAATCAGTACTCCAACCACGGTGCTGAAATAAGCAGGAGGCTATGAATTCCTCAAATAGAAGTGGACAAGGTTATTTATAGAACAGAAATTTTCCCTTAAATATACCACTGGCATATCAAAAAGGAAATAGTGTGTTCAATTTGAAGGAACCTTATACCTGAACAGAGTATCCAATCCCTAATTCATGTTTTCTTTGTCATCCCTGAGAAATTATTAGAGAAAGTCATCTATTTCCCACCGCTCTCAATCGCTCTAATGGACATTGTTTAGGCCGATCTAGTAAGGTTCAAGTTTCTCATAATCCTGATAGAGCACATCCCTTTTCAACCAGGTCGAGTCACAAATAGAGAACTGTATCAAAGCAAGCTTAGCAGTCATAAACCACAGGAGATGTTTACATACATTCTACAGACTGTAATATAACATACACTAATAGCAACTTAAAAAGAATGGTGTGGTACTTCATAAACTCCAGGCGGGCATGCCTTCCTAAATGGGATTCCCACTCAAATTACAAACGAAGAATATCCAATTCTTATATTTTTTTATTCCACTTAACAGTGTCCAAGGACTTTTAATCAGTCATGATGATCTTTACAAGATATTGTCAAGTTATGCTTCATATGATAAAAAACAACCATTTCAGGGATGGGTCTATTACAATAACTTTGACAGTTAACTTCGATATTATCGAGTCAAATGGGATACCCTATCAAGCACTTCATTTTCAAACATGGACAACAACCATGAGTTAATCCCCACAATCATTTTCGTGCCCACTATGCAATAAATGCACATGGGTAGAGCATACATAGAAGCTGTCTCAAAATTTTGCATTGGAGATCCCCAGCCTCATGTTGAGTTCCATAGAAAATTAGGAGATATTTGAGTGGAAATTGTTCTTTGAGCAGCATTTGTTCCAGATTACATAGTTCTGTATATGAACTAAGCATAATTTGTTCTTTCAGAAAATCCCAAGGTCCTGTTTATAAACTCGTCATTGTGGTTTTGGTGAATTAGTTTCATTCATTATTGAAGCATTGATTACAAGGGAGACATCCTTCAGTATACAAGTTTTGGTTCACACCAAATCCTCAGATCAGATAACTTAGGGACATTCCATCTAAAAATCCACCCAAAAGGAAAATTCTGGAGTCATTGGTTGCATTAGAAATTTACCAGAGTTAAGAGATTGAAGTTCATGAATTGGAAAGCGAACAATTCTCAAGCAATAGCTCTTAAATTACTCCACATTGATTGCAATGCACAAGGTGACAGTCATCACCTACGCTAGCTTGTTATTAGCTTAAGCCTAACATTATCTAAGGTTGTTCATGGAGCATATTGTCACAAAGTACAATATCAGCCTTCATTCACTAGTGGAAAAGTTGCAAAGGCAGACCCAAATTTCACCATAGATCTCATAAAGTTTAGCAGTGCAAAACTCATAAGAAGCTTCCAAAGGTCCTCATTGGACTTTGTACCAAGTTTGAGACCATTTGTTCTTCCATTTTGCTTTAAGTTTCCTCCACCAGAAATGGAAAAGGAATATGTGGTATTAGCAATGAAGAGGCTTGAACACAATCCCCAAATTTCATACTTCATCGGACAATATTTAAGTCCTCTACATATATTATACCTGATTCTACTACTGCCGATTCCAGTAAACTCACTACAAACAAAATAGTTTTTTTTCATTTCTTTTTGTGTGTGTATGTGTGGATTTTTGGGTAGTTCAGCTATAGTTTTACATTGACACACAAGTCAACAACTTAACCAATCAAGCCTGATTTGGTTCCATCATCTCATATTTGTAAAGGATTCATGTGCATGCAAACATATTGAGAAAACTACAAATCATTAGATTGACAGCCATGAAATTTAGCATTATTAGTAATGCGCAAGTTCTCAGAATTACTATTGACAAGTTCAGTTATGAGTTCTCCTCATCAATACAGTTGGGCATTGATCGCCCTTGGTACATTTGGGAAACAACAAGGGCATACATCCCCCTCACTTCGATCCTGCTGGATATTTCACTTCTTCTCATTCTAGGTTGCCACTGCCATACATCTGAAGCTAATCCCTCCAACAATGTCCAAGCACCCCCTCAGCCTAGTTATTGCTGGCAACAAGCATCTACTCTAAAGCACTCCCTCCCCTTGATAAAACAATGTATGCTTCATAGTGTATGAGTATTTGACTAATGTTACTATAAAATGTGTCAAAATACGACATACCTTACTATGATTTCAACAGTATGGATACGACTATGAGAAGACATTCACTCAGTGCCTAGAATGCCACCTTACGTATGTCATTTGCCATTAGTTTAAGTTACAAAGCATTCTATAGATCAACCAAAAGCTAGAATAATATTTACATAGTTATCAAGAGGAAGTCAAAAATTGCAACCACCGCTTTTGCATAAGGCTCTTTCTGGACTCAAACAAGCTCCCAGAGCTTTGTTTGAGAATTTTAAGTGTGATTCTATTAAGTTATCCCTCAATAAGTTGATATGACTATCTAATATTTATTGGAAGATCATTTATAAAGTAGATGTTCAGGGATGGCAGACTATTGCTGCTCTACTTGAGAAGACTCTTCATAGCTATTGTCATGTCTGAGTACTGCGGACCTTCGTCCTTATATATGCTCAGGCAGCACAAACACCCTTGAGTTTTGATATCTCATTCACTTCTCCAGAAAAAATAATAAAAACTTTCATACATGAATTAAACTAAATCACAAACTTTCCTTACATGGAAAGTTTGATGGTCACTGAATTCCATCCAAATCCAAAAAGCCTTTCCATAATGTTGCAACCTTAAACAATCCATTTAAAGTGTACCTTCAAAGTTTATCATAACATATAATTTTGATGTAAAATATTCTTAAGATTATCTCAAAATCTATTTTCATATCTATTTATAAAATTTTAAACTCCAAAAATAATTAAAATCAAGTAGATCTAAAAATATATGAAAATCTTGGAAATGGTCAGTCTAGAAAATGTGTTGTAAAATGCACCATTTCTGGGACTCAAAATCTTTTTTTTTTCATAGTCATTCATCTCGATGTCGAGATGATCAATTAGAGAGTTTTTCAATATTAAAACATCCTTATATAAACTTTTCGCTTTCATGAATGGACAGCACAAAGTTTGAAGGTTGGCACATCAAGAGCTTGAGTTTTGCCCACTCATCCTTGCTCAACCATAATCCAATAGAAGTATTTATCTTCTACATATATTCAGCAGTAAAAGTTAATAACATAACAAGTAGGGAAAAGTAGCTAATGAAAAGAGCTCGTTAAAACAATCATGGAACAGGCAGCACTCACTATGGGAAAACAGATTTAACTTTTTCAACGTCCAAAGATTGTTGGGTCGAACGCGGAACTCCCAACTTGATCTTAAGTTTCATCTGATCAAATGTAACCCCGGGTACAGAGCCTGCATCACTCCAAAATAAAGCAACCCATATTTCGTTTTTTACAATAGAACACAGCCCAAATTAAATCCCTTTTCTTCCCAAAAACCACTAGTCCCACTTCCCAATCTTCATTTTCAGGAGAAGAGAAAGACTAAAGATTAATTTAGAAATATGGGGTTGACCTAGGCGAAAGGCCGGAATCGAATTAGAAGATATAGCATCCCTGCAAGCCCTCATAGCAGCAGCAGTTATATCCTGCCTACAAGTGAAAAGAAAATGGGGCATTAAGATTTCACAATAATTGGCCAAAAGAAGTGGGCGAATGCAAGATAAAAGGAAGGAAGAGGAGGAGACGATATTACGCATGTTGATCATAACCGACCCCCATTTCTACGAATAAAAGCTTCATACGAGAATCTTGTTCACTTTCTTTAGAGGTTTCTTTAGAATCCATTGCAACGGATAAAGCTTTGGAGGAAGTGGCTCGAAGATGTTTGGATGGTTTTGGTTGTAACAGGTGACCAGGGGAATTGAAAAGAGAGAAAAGGGAAAGGTTTTGTGATTGTCTTGAGAAATGTTGGAGAGAGGAATTGAAGAAAGAGAAAGGAGGAAGAAGGGGAGAAGAGAGATTACAGGTGACTACCATTTCTCGTTGCGAGCATGTTAAAGGTTAAAAACCGGATCGGTTTCTCGGATAGGCTTCCAAAATCGGTAATTTAAATCGAAGAATCTGCTCGACAGTCTCAAATAAATTTCAAAAAATCATTATAATTTATAAAAAATTTAGTGTTATTAAAATTCTAAAAATAATAGTGATGATTGTATTATAGTTTTTTATTATTATGTCAAAAATATATAAATTAAAAAACTTGCCTAAGTGTTTATATCTATTAAATTCATTTTGTAGTCAAAATAAATCATGAAAATAAAATGAATTTCTCTAACTCAAATTATTCTTTTATTTTTATATTAATTTAAGAGTTTTATTTTTGAAAGAAACTATATAAAACAAATTTATAGAAAAAAACTTCTATTTAAAGGAATTTAAATCTCTCTCCCCTTATGAATGACAATTATTTTTGTATAAATTGTGGGGAGTTCAAAGTATATTAAAACAGCCTTACTTTTGCAGTACATAAGAACGGATGAAAATCGTAATGACAAAAAAAGAAAAAAAATGAAAGTTGCACGTTAAGCCTATAGTGTGACAATGTGTTAAGCCTATAGTGTGACAATGTTCTGCATAATGAGAGCGAGGACCTAGGCGTAGTGTGACAATGTTTGAGAGAGACGACCTCGGCGAGGGCGGGGGCGGGGGCGGGGGCAGGGGGCAGGGG